TTTAGTTGCGTACATACCAGTAGAGTGCGCAAACCTGGCAGTCACGTGGCGGGTGAAAATGTCCAACTTTTGGTTGCAGTTCACATCAGCTTCATCGTACACTTTGAGACCAATTCAGGCCTTTCCTTTTGACAGCTTTCAATATATTCCTCTGCATGGTAACACTCACTCGATTGCATCTTCACTCGTTAATATGAACTTTGGTCAATTTGGAAATCCATTAATGACTTCGACTATGACGTTACTGGACCCCTTACAGCAGGCCGACAACAATGGTACCATCGTCAATAGTATGGAAAGCGATTTTATTAGCCAGGAAAGCCAGAGCAGAAGTGACATGGCGGAAAGTTATGAGAATATAAATAGCTATCAAGAGCATTTTTCTGGCGAGAACAATGAACAATCTTTTGACCCATCCAACGACGGTGATGAAATGAACAATAACGGACATGAACTGCAAGAAGTTGATCCGATAGAAAATGTTCGTCAAGTGATTAGAAACTCATTTAGTTTGGTGGAACCGTTAAGCAGTGGCTCAGATGTCGACGGCATGAAAAACATACTGAACACAATATCTACTGTCGGGAAGTTAGTTCTTCCGTTTCACGGTCACATAAATTATCTAAAAACTGCAATATTCAACTGCACATTTGCCAAGTTGCCGCTTTACAAGCGTAGGCAATTTCGCAGGCGTTTTCGAGACGATCGTTATCCTCTGTCAAATCTCGTTCGAATGCTTGTCGTCGACATTGTTGCCGGTACTCAGTGTGATCCATCTTCTCCAAGCAATTACAACAGCCGATTTAGATCGGGTCGACTTGACTTTGATGTCTGCAATATCTGCCAGATAAGAGGGCATCGAATTTCTAGCTGCCACTTCCTCTACCTTATGCTTTGCTGTAAGTGTGTCTTTCCGGGAATGCGGGTACAACTTTTCTAACTACTTTCTTTTTAGGCAAGTGTTTTCTTTTCGGCCATTATGGCAAGCATTGCCAGTATAGCCCTTAATATAAAACTTTTAATATAAATCAAGAACACCCAAACAGACTGCAAGGAATGAAAACAAACCAATTTATTGTTACTTGAAACTTTTCATTATCATACTTTTTTTCCTTACACATGTCATTTTAAAAACTACATGAAATGCAACCCCCCACTTTCTTTTACTTTCATTAAACTACTTTCTTCTAGGCAGCCTTCGCATCTTTTGTCGTTCTTCAGTGCTGCTCGTCACCTCAACAATCTTCACTGTGGACGCGGGCCGATGTGATCGCTGTGTGGGCATCTTCAGTTCACTGCTGGTCGGCGTTGAGAAGGTCTTGTCCACGGCGGGCGCCTTCAGTCCTTCGCCCAGAGAGCTGGTCGCCCGATTGCGAGTGGACGCCGCCGCCGACTCTGAGGCTGCAATTTTACTCACACCGGAGCTACTAGTTGGCGTTTGCGAGCACCGCTTGAGGAGCATAAACTGCCGATTGAGAGTGTCCACCTCGTCGCTGGGCACTGTCTTGATGTCCGACGCCAGGTACAGCGACTTGCCCGTGGTGTTGTGGTGCAGAGACAGTGGCGAGGCGGCTGAGGACTGTCCTCGTCTGCCGCCCGTCAGCTGGCGAGCACCGCCGCCAATGTTCCACTTTCGGTAGCCACATAGGCAGGCGATGATGGCGAGGCTGACCAAAGTGATCAGACATGACAGGGTGCCGATGATGATTATTTCTAGGGAAGATTCGAGGTAGTAGTTTGGTGGAATAGCGCTGTACATTTTGCTCGTTTACCGAACCAGTTGTCCGCTTTGAATGCTGGGTTGGCTGTGCTTATCTCGTTGAAAGTCTAAAGCATGTCTGGTTTATTCAAGTCTTTGTCAAAACAAATAGCATTACTTACCACTTTTCGTACTGCTGGCTCTTCCATTGGATGAACGCTCGAAGAGATGACCATCTTTTGAGAATGATTTTTTTGTTTATTTAAACTTGACTCTTATTAACACCTAAAACTGTTCCATATTGGAACTTTAGCAAACCATTTGACGAATTGAAATCTGAACCATAGTAACCTTGGTGAAAACACTTCTTGATGCCGTCTCTAGTCATTATTGATTGGCTGGGCACTTGCTTTCTTAATTGCCTCGCTAGTAATTCAATGCCCAAGCAGTAGCCGAAATGACCAAAGACTTTTGATGATCAAAGAAATGTGGGCAGCTCAAGAGTCAGGTTACTAATATTCTGTAGGCCAACAGTAATGTATTGAAGAAGAAGTCAGAGAACCGATTGTGCCTAGCTGTCGGCACTTTGCTTTGTCGGCGAGTCAGTCAGACCGGTGAGCCGCTGCTGTGCGGTGTTTGCACAAGCATTAGGCCGTAGAAGAGTGTCGTGTGCCGGCAAGTGGGCCTAGGCAGACGAGTAATGCTCACTGCCACTGCGTGTCGGTGTTTGCCGCCGATGAGCCGAAACGATAAGTGCTGGGTCCACGGGGTCCACTTCTGCTCTAGGGTTTTTCTTCTCTCTCTCGCTCTCTACTGTCTTGTCACACTTTTAATTAGCAAATTAGAATTACCCTGCACGAAAAGACGACAAGTGGCCCAGGGAGGGAGGGAGGAGACAGTTGCGTGAGTGCATTGCATGGCCTCGCTGAAGAGTATAAGAGGAAGGCACTGTTCTTCTACTCGGTTCACTTGTCCTCGGGAGTGCTGCCAGTCACCATCGTCTGCGTCACACCATCGTTCACTTATCATCATCAGCACCATCATGTCTGACTACCACTCGAAGTACCATTGCCCCTTCGACTGGAACTCCATGTACGCGGAGAGTGGCCACTTTGCCAGTGCGCCCACCATGGCACCCTCAGCCCACAACCCATGTGCCTACGATGCATCTACAGGACGGTCCGCTTTCTACCAGCACCCGTACCAGCCGCCCATTGGCCCCTTCGGTCACTCCTTTACCCAGCAGCTGAACATTAGCCCAGATGCAGTTCACCTCTCTCACCACAGTGCCCCCTTCTCTGGATCCTCCATCAAATCGAGTCCCACCGACTCTGGACTCGGTTACTCTCCGACTCTGTTTCAAAATTCGCCTGATCATTTTACCCGAAGTCCACAGCACCCACTGCCGCCCACTGCCGACTGCTTCTCTTCTTTAACTGTGCTCCCTAACCATGCACTGAAGATGGAGGCATCATCATCTGAAATCGCTCTCCCTTCAATTGTGCACCNCCCGAAGTCCACAGCACTCACTGCCGCCCACTGCCGACTGCTTCTCTTCTTCAACTGTGCTCCCTAACCATGCACAGAAGATGGAGGCATCATCATCTGAAATCGCTCTCCCTTCAATTGTGCACCCTTTTAAATCGGAAAAAGAGAGTAAAAGCAGTCGCCAGGGTAAGTCACACAATGTTTTTGGGTATTTTTTCAAAAGACAGTAGTTTTAGCTCATAGTTGCAAAGGGGTTACGATGTTCAGATGTTGCCCAAGTCTTGAGCAATCTAAACACAGGCACAAAGTANAGGTAAGTCATACAATGTTTTTGGGCATTTTTTCAAAGACAGTAGTTTTAGTTCATAGTTGCAAAGGGGTTACGATGTTCAGATGTTGCCCAAGTCTTGAGCAATCTAAACACAGGCACAAAGTAAGATGGCAAATGGCCTCCCGACAGAAGGGGACTAGGCAGGGGAACTAAATGTCGGTATGTGTGTGTATGTGTGTACATTGCACAGCCACAGGGGTCCACAGTGGCTGCGTAGCGTGAAAATGACAACGACAAGTGCAGAGAGGGGTGACAGTGGCCGACGAAGTCGTCAGCACCAGAGAGAGCGATAGAGATAGAGATCGAGACGGAGACACTGGCCAGCAAGTGCACTGTGGCTGGCTGGCGGTGTCGGCAGAGTGCCTCCGCGTGCTTAGTGGTCCTCCGGAGTGGCACTCGCAGCAGGTGACAAGTGTCGTCGTTGCCGCCGCTGCCGCCGCTAATGAGCATGGCCCAAGGGTCAACTGGCCCTTCATCAGCGGTCATTGGTGATTGCCAGTACCCAGTAGTTCAGAGTAGGCGGGTCCACTTGGGTGGACCCCCTTTCTTAGCGTCGGGTAACCTTGTTGGCAAATGAGTAGAAAGCTGTTTGGGCTGCAATTAGTCACGCCACATTAGTATTCAGTGCCCGGGCGCACTTCAGATTCAATTGAGCATGGGTGTCGCATTACTCATTTGATTGCTCAATTGGAAGTGTGCCAAACCTGAGCTCAAAGCACAGATTGAGTAGTACATTGTGTTACTATTCTCTTTTTAACAAAATCAATCTTATTTGAATTGACAGAGAAAACCCGCACTGACAAGTACCGCGTTGTGTACACTGACTTTCAACGCAGCAAACTTGAAGAGGAGTTTCAACTGAAGGCTTTCATCGACTTTCCTCGCAAAGAGGCACTTTCCAAGGAGCTGAACCTTACTCAAAGACAGGTTTGAATTTTATTTGCAATTTCCATGAGCTAACAATCAAATCTAACCGATTATTCTCTTCTTTTGTAGATCAAAATTTGGTTTCAGAATCGCCGTGCGAAAGGCCGGAAAAGTGACCTCAAGAAGTCACTGAACAATGGTGGTTATGGACTCATTAAAAGCCAAGAACGAGTCAGCACTGATTGCACTGGGGTAACTGGGGTCAAGAGCGAAGACTTTGGCGAAAGGGCTCTAACCGTGCAGATACCACCACCCGCTGCCTCCTCAAAGCTCCCGGTCCGCCCTGACGTGAGCATGAGCAGCATGAGCGAAATGCACTTCACCACCAACAACAGCTACTATCACCACTTTGGTCCGGCTGACCGGCGACTACTCTTGAGACCTATTGAGATCTAATCACTATGTGGGCCAGTTGACAATACAAATCTTTCCTTTATATGGTACAGTGGTGAATATGATGATACAGATGAAGGTCAATTTACAGTATATTTACAAGCATAGAATGTACAATATGTTATCTAACAGTTTGGTCAATAAAGCTATCCCCAGATACAGCTACTCAGCCGCCTGTTGCGTCGCCTGCAATGTCTCCCGTTCTCCGTCGACCTTTTGCTTGCAAATGGCCAGTTTACTAAAGTAAAGCTCGCAACTGACGTTATCTGAACTCTGATCTGGTATGAAGTCAATGTCTTCCTTTGTGATTGGCACGTAGTACCGATCATCAAGCAGGGCGTCGTCGATGCGCTCGTTGATGTACTCAGCCAAGTCTGTCCAAAAGACGGTGCACATGCTCGCAGCAACGCAATCTATTGTTTCCAGCTGCTGCATGAAGATCGTTGGCGCTACCATCATGAGGCGGACTAAGTGGTGCACCGGATGATACGGGGTAATGTCATACTGGGCGAGCAGTTGATCACAACCTTCCACCTTACTGCTCTTTGGCACCTCACCAGTGGCAACGGCGCTTTTGTGACGTTCGAGCGTCATGTAAGTTTGCAGCATCTCAACATCAGTCAGGCAGAGGCGATGACAGAAGCCGTTGAATAGGAGTCGGGTTTGATTTGCCACCAAAATGCCCGACCAAGGACTCCAACCGGGCGGTGGGTTGACCCGCCTAGCTTCCGCATAGTCCTCAAGCAGAGCGTCAATGGTGACCAGGCCCTCGGCCACGGGCACTTTCAGCTTCTTCTCCTTCTTAAAGTGCACCTGGTCGTCGGCCAGATGAGCTTCTAAAACAGAGGGAGGTAAACGAACCTCAGTAGAAGACGGTTGCACGCTGGTGTCCTCCTCCTCCTCTTCCATTTCATCTGAATCGCTATTGTTCTCTGGTTCTGACTTTCTTTTAACTGGCACTTTGATTGCACTGCTGTAAGGCGCTATTACTTGTTCGGTCACCCATTCGTCCCACTTTTTGTTCCAGCCAACGTAGTGGACAAGGAAGAGCATTGGCCCATCTTTTGCAGATGCATCAATACTGATGATACGTGCCTCGTACATTACTTCATTGTAGTTGCAAAAGATAAGCTGTCCAGGTCTAAACTTCCTACGATCTAAACTAGCCACATTTAAACTGTCATCCTGCACCGGTTGGTTCTGATCGTCTGGTTCACCGCTGGGCGAACTCATTTTCAAAATCGGGCCTAGAATTAGTGCATTTAGACGAAAATAAGGTAAAGACAATTTGTACGAAAACTTAACAAAAAAACAAAGTGAACTTACTTGAATAAAAAAGTGAATTGTGTACAGGTATTTTGATAAATCAGGCAATTTTTCCAATCTGGTGGACCACTGACACTCGAGTTGTTTGAAAAACCAGGTGCTTTTTTCAAATAAACAAATCCGTCTTGCTGAAAAATGCGCCCAAGTGCCGGCATTATCAAGTGTGCTGCACCGAATGCTCGTGCTGACGGTGGGCCGGGTTTAAATATACACAGAGTAAGCAGCACTTGACATTGTCATTGCACAAGCATGTCCCGCCCTCAACCAGCAGCGAATCTTCGATGCATCAGGTGAACTCTGTCTTCTGCCGCTGTCTACTGTCAGCTATGCTAGCAATCAGAAGGCGAGATCTTTGAGTCAGCATTTTGAACTAGAAAGCACAGTGACAGGGAGGTAGTGCACAACTGTCATTGTGCTTGAACGCAAATTGTGTGATGCAAAAACCCTGCCTTTCTCTCTCTCTCTCGCACTGGACGCCGAATCAAAACAATGACATCTGTTTTACTTTGACCAAAAATGATATGTCACAACAACCAACCTACCTGTCAGTACAACAGTACAACAGCCAACAAAGTTACATTCAATCAACAGTTCCAACTCGATCAAGTATCCGATGGAAGAAGGCTATTCTCTAAGACGATCACACAACGACTCACGAACTTTAGGAAGCGACGGCCCTCTCCAAAAGCCTACATCTTTGAGAAGATGATGGAAAGGCGACGGAAGAAGGCGAAGAGGACTGCAGAGAAGGCTATTGCTGCTGAAGCTGCAGCTGCAGCATCAACATCAGCTACTCCGCTCAGAGTCAGAAGAAAAAAAAGCAAGGGAACGAGCAAAAGCAAAGGCAAAAACACTTCCGACGGGTCGAGGAGTTCCAAACAGATCCTTACGAGGAAGAGGCAACATATCAGGTCAGCAACACCCTCTATAGAGATCATTTGAAGGTGAAGGGAAAAGTGTTTCTTTTTGATTGGGTAGTATTCTATACTTTTGGGTTGTAGGCACAAACCCAACAAGCACACACTGAATGAAAAAACAATTAGATTTTGGGTAACTTTAATTGGATTCAATTTACATTTTTTCAAGTTTTGCACAAAAACGGTGGAGTTCCGTTGCAGCAACAGTGGACCGCCAGTTCTCGCGATGTGAAACCAGCACCACCACCACAACCGCCACCCTTTCTTCATCATCCTCCTTCTCCTCCTCAATCTTTTCCTGTATCAAGGTAGGTTCGCCCATTTCTTCATCATCGTTCACTGTTGTTTATGCTGAATACACGCGAAAATCAGCATCAATAGTCCACTGTCCTTCATTCCTTGGTCGCCTCAGCCGTTGCTGCTGCCTTTTGCAATCGATCAACACCATCACCGCTGTCATCATCGCCTTTGAAGAAAACTCTCGAATCGTCAGCTCTCTTCTGGAGAGTTAAACTGGAAACTATTCAGCAGTCTTCTGCGGAGAGAGATAAATGAAGAAGAAGAAACGGCTCGCAGATTTTCACCACCCACGCCAGTGACATGACGTGGTCCATTGGGCTGCAGGGTACTGGGCTACTGTTGCTGCTGCTGCTCATCAGAGCAGCAACAACAGAAGCAATGTTCACCTATTTCAAAGCAAAACAATCAACGGCGAGAGCTTTCTTTGTTCTGAACAAAACGATGATCATCAGCCTGCTTTCTTTGTGTGCGGGAAGTGTGTCGAACTTTAGAGCGCCTTTCATTTGAGCAGCTGCCGAATGGGCAGACCAAAACGGCGCTCTACTTTGAGTGGAAGTTCGGGATGAGGAAGACGAAGATTGAGAAGAGAAAGGCTAAAGAATTAAAATGACCAAAAAGATGACTGATGATAAAAGCAATACAAATGAAGATTGTTAAAGAGGATCAGCCAGCGTCGAACAGTAGGTCTTTGATGAAATGTTCTCTTAGAACAAGCAAATCACTCAGGATTGTGGTCTTGCGGATAGTGCTGTGGCAGCAAAGTTACTGAAAAGTCTAAATGGTAAAAACTAGGCGTTACCAGACTGGCTACGTACCTTTACTGAAAGAGGAGTGAACTTAATGCCAGACGTCCCTACTACAGCATGCTGGACAACCAAAGCAAACGATGATCAGCTCTGCTCGAAGCACGCCATTTTGGGTGTTCCTCTTCCGGTACTACGGCTGCTGCCATATTATCTGCACGGAGCTCTCAATGAGAGTCGATCAACGCCGGCAGTCGAAGCAATGCAAGAATGAATGCACTAAACGGCGACATTCTTTTCCTCAAGAATTGCTCCTACCTAGAGAAAACAGCAAGGTTAGTTTGGTCAGTTTGTATTTAAGCGAATCAAGACGTTGCTACCTACATTTCATGAGCGATTTGCCAATTCCTAACGAAACATTCTTTAGCGACTTGTAGTTGAAACTCGCCGATTCACTTTGTCAATATTTATTTTCTTACTCTTCTCTATATTCTCCTTTTTGGACCCTTCTTTTTCTTTGGTCTTTACTCTTCAGAACCTTCTCTTCCATCTTGGTCTTCCTCTCTAAGAAAATCGTCGTCTTGAGTTGCCCTTTAGGCAGTCAGTCAAATAAAAAAGGCTGTAATGTTAGACACACCTCTGGCATAGAGGAGAACCCACTGATGGTCATCGTCAAGTTCAGGCCAAAGAGGCTTTTGCCAAGTGATTGTCTTGTTTACAAATAAGTTAACATTGCTTCTGTGAGCCACTTTGATGGGCAGTAGCAGAAACATGAGCCTAGTACCAAGCAGTCCAAAGGGCCACATGTCGCTGAAGTTGGGTGGTGCAAATCTGACAAGGAGTCGTGTCGTCTGTCTCAGCACTTTTGACTCTCGAATGCTGAAAAGTTGAGCCAGCTCTCTGCAGAAACCCTGTATGAGCCAAGCGTTTTGTGATGAAAAATAGAAGCCATTTGCTGGATGATGGCCAGGTGCATTGACTGTAACAAAAGGAGGATAAAACAGTTGAGTAAAATAGGATCATATGCACAACTGGCAGAAAAACTTACTTCGCTCTGTCCATCTGTTCAGTGATGATGATGCTGAAGAAAAGGCTAAGAAGACAACAATGGCGACAACGACAACGGCGAAGACGTTGAGATCTTGCGTTAGCCATGAGAAGGAAAGAAGGGCAGTTTGCCATTGATGCTGATCATTGGGTGTGTGAGATTAAAATGTAATTAACAAGAAGAAGATGAAGAGATGAGCCAACTTGGATGCAGGAAAAAGATGATGGGATCAATTGAGCTAGATGACAAAGATGAAAATGCGGTGGTTGTGGTGGCAGTGATGGTCTCACACCCTGACAAGTCCTGGCGGTCTGCCGCCGCAGTCAGGTCTGACTCGACCTGACTGCGGCGGCGTCTGAATGACCATCAGCGGATGCCGGACTGAAGCTTATCAGGCTTATGGAAAATGGATGATGCGCAGTTTTCCTCACCGGGGGAGGGAGGAAAAAAGGGGACAACGAGAAGCACAAGCACAAGCGAAGCAGGTCCTCACACACTCAACACACTGAGGCGGTGGTCTCCTTCACCAGTGTGCTGAAGGTAGAAGCAGGTAGGAGCAGCAGCAGCAGTAGTAGTCACCAATCATGTGATTTCTGTGGTTTGAGAGAAGTAGAGAGAACACTTTGATGGTGTACAGAAACTCCTCCTTTGTGGGTTCCCAACGAGAGAGCCGTCAACCCTGGCAACAGCAGTTCAGTGCATATTCACCTGACCTGACGATGGCTGGCTGTGAGGGCTGTGCGCAATTTGCATTCCCTCTATATCCTTTCTCTTTTTCCAAGAGGTGACTAGCATCGGCAGAGATCACAGACAACTGTGTGCTTGCTGTGTAACCTTCCAAAACTACGACCGATCTTTGCACTGCCATTCAGTCTGAGTGTGCCTGACTCACTCAGACTGACGCGTTCACTCACTTTGTGATCATCGTATGCGTGTTGAACCCAGCAACGTGGAATGTTCGTCAAATATCACTGGGGGGGGGGACACAGTAATTAGTGCAGCGACTAGCACCACTGCCACTAAATCACAGTGCCAGCGGCTCTGACAAAACTGCCCCCCCCCTGTCTCGGTGCAGCTTGAAAGTTCAGTAAAGATGATTTTGCTGCTCAAAAACAAGTGTTAAAAGAAACAGCAGGAATAGAATATGGAAATTGAAATGACTACTTTACTTAGCTAGATTGCAATACTGTCTAATTGTAAAAATTCACAAAAAAACATCAAAATTGCTTTTAGCAATGAGTTAAGTGGGCGAGTGGGTACAGAGTCTGTACTACAGACAGACAACAGGCTAGCTAAAAGTAAGCTAAAGCCACGTCAAACCTCTGCTTTTGTGCAAAGGGAATTGTTCGATATGTTCTAAAACGCGTCATTAGAACGATACCACCACACTTTAACCTTTTAACGCTTGTTCTAATTAGATGAACTACACATTTTAGTTTTTTACCGGAAACAATTATTCCGACTGGCGTTAAAAGGTTAAATGTTAAAAAAACAAAATATTTTTAAAATACCATTACATAAATGGCAAACTGGAAGACTTTTATTAGAAATTCAAAAAGGTTTACCTAAACTTGAAAAATGGTTTTTCAATTCAAACTTGGTGCCACTCATTAACAAAACTTGCAAAATTAGTAAGCTCACGTTCATTAATTGAAACTAGGAATTCCAAATTTTGTCCCTTTTCAGTATAAAGATAACTGCTTTTCAATGCTAAACCGTCATTCAGTTTGATTTGCGCTTGTGTTAGCTACTACATCTCACATCTGCTTATCTGTTCTTACTCGGTTTTCAAAGATTCAATACGTCAACAATTTAGCAAAATTGTTTTTGTTCTGACCAGTTGCCACCAAGTTATGCCTTTGAAACGCAAAGTTATGGCCGATTTTCCTGAGATTCCGCCGCAGAATGCCACCATTGACGCGTATATCGCCGAGGTGAATTGCAAGATCACATGGGTTGAAGCGCAGCAGAACTAGGGACTGTGCACCACTGACTACACACTGACTGACTTTGGTGAAACAAAACGAGAGCGCATGTGGAAGATGAAGCAGACCGAGGAGATGATCGACACCACCCTCATCTCTGCTGATGGCCATCGTGAGGTAAGAGTTTTCCGGCCGGTTGTGTGCTGTTGATTCCAATTTACCCAACTGTTAATGTCCTTTTTTCACAGTTAGTGCACATGGACATCATACTGGAGCTTGGCGCTGCAAAGCAGGTGATATTTTTTGGTGAAGAAAAAGTCAGCAATGAGAACAGGGGCGTAAAGGAGTACACAGTCAAGGAGGACATTTCGTCGGCTGTTCTCGCCAAAGTGGTTCACTACGCCTACCTGGAGAAGTGCCAGCTGGAGGGAGAGCCCGCTTCTCTGGTCATTGCCCTCAGCAAAACTGCCTTCAAGTATGGACTGAACAGTCTGCTGAAGTACTGCATCGCTCACATGATGAAAAACTGCTCCCCGCCCATTGCCTACTTTGCTTACGAGTTAGCGATGACGTGCAACAGCAGCAGCAACATCAAGGGCAGCAACAATGCTTTGTCATCACTCGTTTCTATGGACAGCAAGGCAGGTCAGGTCTTCTTTAAGAAGTTCATTGAAGATCACTTTGAAGAGGTGAGTAAGGAGGTTTTCTATTGCTTGGTAATGGACTCTTCAAACCTACACCACCACCACTCCACAGATGTACAACAGTCCCCAGAAAGAGGACCTCCTGCGCCTGAGCTTTCCACTGCTGAGCACCGTTCTCCGCTGGAACAAGCTGAACGTCCGTTCTGAGGAGACTATCTGGAAGGTGATCCACGACTGGGTCGCCTACCAACCGGCCACCCGTCTGGCCCACCTGAACGCTCTGCTCGCCGGGGGCTGCCTCCGTCTGGGCCGCCTCAGCAGTGAATTTCTCAAGCAGTTTGTTCTGGGCAGTGATCTCTTTCGTGCGCAGGACGAGCGCAGCCAGGTTCATGGACGAGCTGCCGTGAAGGCCGTCCTAGACACTGCCCTTCAGTACCCTGCTCTGATCTTCAGGGACGGTCATGGGCTGCAGTACTCCAAAGCCCTGACCGCTTTTCGTCCTCGAGCCACCCGTCAGCTGTTAATGGTGGCCGGAGGATGGGTGGACGGGAAGACCAGTCAGTTGATTGAAGTGCTCGACCACCAGTCGAACCTCTGGGTCAACGTGCCGCTGCGACTCGGCCATCCGGTCTCCTACTTTGGCTTTGAGATGATCGGTACGGTCATCTACGTTTTTGGCGGCTCCAACGGTCGGGAGATCTTCCGCACGATGAATGCCTGCAACGTTGGCAAGCCGCTGGTGGCTGCTAGAGCTGCAGAATCAAACACTTCCCGAGTCGGCCAGTGGGAGCCTAAGGCGAGCATGCTCGAACGCCGCTGCTACGTCTCCAGCACCGTCCTCGATGGACGCATCTACGTCATTGGCGGCTTCAACCAACAGGAACGAGTGAAGAAGTGTGAACGGTAAGAAGTGTGGTAGTGCACTTTGGGGGATCACTGGTACACAGTGACCAACCAAATTGTCTCTCACTCCTTGTTATTCAGCTACGACCCAAGCACCGACCAGTGGACCGCCATTGCCGACCTGAACTACTCGCGCTCTGACGCCACAGCCGTCTCTCACGGCGGCCGCATCTACGTCGCCGGCGGCGTCAACGACAACACCATCGAGTCCTCGGTGGAGGTGTACTGCCCAGTGGGCGACCGCTGGCAGCTGGTGAAGGCGATGGCCTCGCCGCGCGCCAGCTTCTGCCTCGCCTCCTTTGACGGTCGCATCTGGGCGATGGGCGGCAATGATGGGGAGCAGCGACTGAGCAGCTGCGAATCGCTCGACCCGCTGACGGGCGTCTGGCGGTCGGAGGCGCCCATGATGAACGGGCGGAGCACCTTCAAGGCGATCACCTTCATGGGCGAGCTGTACGCCATCGGCGGCTACAATGGCCAGTCGCCCATCAGCAGTGTGGAGAAGTACTCGCCCGGGGCGGGTCGCTGGAGCACGGCACGCCACCTGCGTCACGACCGCAGCGGAATGGCGCTGCTTGTTCTGCCCAATGACTTTCTGCCCCTCAAGATCTGATGCTGATTGGAAGGAAGGGGGTAACAATTTTTGGCAAACAGAGGCTCACTTACTACTTTTCCAGGGTTCACTTGCCAAACTTTGCAGTTTTCTAGTTGTAATTTACTTAGTGAATTTTTAACTTTTGTGACAGACCACTCTTTTGTTACACATCAAAGTTAGGATGCACAAAAAACTTGTTGGAAAAAATTTATTAAATTAAAGTAGTGAAAAAAAATAAAGAACAAAAAATCTGTCAACAACATTGAGAAGGATATTGGTACACAAAAATAATAACTACAGAAAAAATGAGATGATGAAGAATTGGATGACAAAAAAGGGGCGATGAGTTGAATCGTGTATACAAGAATGGTTATGGCACGATAGATAATGACGATGATAATGACAAAAATAATGAAGAAATAATGAGTAGTGAGTTATTGGCTATTGTTGGTCGATAGGAAGGGGCTTGCCGTTGCCAGTGTGAGTGTCACTGGCGCTGCTACGGCCATTCTTCAGTGACTGTTCAATGTCGATGTACTGCCGTATTAGCCGGCTTATCTCATGTGCCTGAAACAGAAAAACAAAAAATGGTTTGCTCAAAACTGCGGGCAAAAATTAACAAATCTAGAGCCATACCTGGTCAGTCTGGATGCGAGTGATTTTTTGCACCAACAGATTGCCGCACCGCACGTCAAGGTAGAGGGTGCCGTCTTCAGAGCGCACCTTTCTCGTGGAGATCACTTCAGAGTACGGATGCTTCCACACTTTCTCCTGTAAATCACATTTAAAACAATCAGTCAGATGAGCGGTAAAAAAGAGCAGTCGACTCGCTAGCAAAGTTCTTTACTTACATGTGTAACCATGTCAAGAAAGTGGACGCCGTCTTTGTTTAGCGCCAGAATGTGGTCCGGGTGCGTGTGAGAGTCGTTTTGTATTCTCTGTGAGGGGAAATCAATGCGATAAAGCATGTTAATTAAAAAGTCTAATGTTTTGTTGTGAGAGGTATTACCTTGACGGCAAAGAAGCACGAGCCAAAGAGGGGCCACTTGTGGAGAATGTCGAGGCACTGTGCCTTCGCCTCGATCATCAACAGCGCCGAGACGTCGTTCCAGTGGTTTTGCACCATTTCCACCCATTGGTGCGGCTTGATGGTGCGCATCGCCAGCACCGGCTTCGGAAGGAGGTACTTGATCTCGTCCTTGCTCGGCATCGCCTCCATCTCCGCCGCTCGATGCAGCAGCGCGGCGATGCGGGCAATCTCCTGGAAGATCTCATCGGGCAGCTTCTCATGCGGCAGGATGATCAGCAGGCCCTCAAGGTAGTCGGGTGCCACCTGGTTGAAGACCACCTCAATGTAGAGGTGGCTGTCCAGGCGCAGCGGGTGGTACCACACGGACCGACAGAAGATCAGGTAGAAGAGCTGGCCGTTCTTCAGCAGTTCGGTGGTTACGTCGAGGATGTACTCGTCGCGATTCAGTGGCATTGTAAAGGGGTCTGGAGAAAGTGAAGAGTTAATTTGTAACAAGCTACTTTTCCCTGTTTCTTTTTTATCTTTTACCTCCTTCAATGATGNTTCAGCAGCTCGGTGGTTACGTCGAGGATGTACTCGTCGCGGTTCAGCGGCATTGTAAAGGGGTCTGGAGAAAGTGAAGATTTAATTTGTAGCAAGCTACTTTTCCCTGTTTCTTTTTTATCTTTTACCTCCTTCAATGATGCAGTACAGCGAGAACTCCTCCATCTCGAGGGCATTGTTGACGTTGAGCATGAGACAGATCTCCTCGATGATGTCGGCGACCACCGTCGTACAGCTGGTGTTGAGGACTCGCTCCGTGCCGCCGGGCAGTCGGTACATCTGCCGCTTGGAGGTCCGGCCGGCGGAAATGGCGGCAATTTCTTCAATGCTGGGCACGTTCTTCCGTCCGCCGTACTTGAAGGTTTTCTTCAGATTAGTGAGGGCGATGGAGGCGGTGACGTGGAAGGCGCGTCGTTTGTCGTAGGCCGCCGTCTCCAGGTACTTAAAGAGGTACGGCTGCAAAATCTCTGAGCAGTCAAAGTAAGCGGCGACGATGCCAAAGAGACGCCAGCCACGCTGACAGCTGTCACTGTTGATGTCGGAGAAAAAGGAGAGAATTGTAAAGAGCTAATGATTTAGTGATAAAAATGGTACGCACGGTTTAGGGCTCTTGTTGCTCGTCGTCTGCTTCATCAGCTGACAGTAAATTTCATCACGAATTTGACCGTACTTGTGGCAGTTCTGGTAAGGAAGAATAAATTTGTGTAAATCTGCATGAGGTACAAACATCTTTTCCTCAACTTACCACAAGAATAGTGTAGACGCAGTCCACTTCATTCTGGTTCTTCACCATTGCCAAATCGCCCATGTAGCGCATGATGGCTGAAAAAAGCGGAAAAAAGAAAAAGNTAAAAATGGTACGCACGGTTTAGGGCTCTTGTTGCTCGTCGTCTGCTTCATCAGCTGACAGTAAATTTCATCACGAATTTGACCGTACTTGTGGCAGTTCTGGTAAGGAAGAATAAATTTGTGTAAATCTGCATGAGGTACAAACATCTTTTCCTCAACTTACCACAAGAATAGTGTAGACGCAGTCCACTTCATTCTGGTTCTTCACCATTGCCAAATCGCCCATGTAGCGCATGATGGCTGAAAAAAGCGGAAAAAAGAAAAAGAAAAGTGAGCTGAGTGAGCACAAAAATTGCGCAGTTGAAAGATAGAAAGCTTTCAGGAGAGTGAGTAGCACCAGGACAGTAATTGGCCAGTAGCCAGTCACACTAAAAAGTAGTGACACTTGAAAGTTGAGGCAAGACATCGATGTTTGGGCAAAGTGAAAGAGAAAGAAAGTTAGTAAAACAACTTACCGGAGAAACACTCAACGGCGACTTTGCNATTGAAAGTTGAGGCAAGACATCGATGTTTGGGCAAAGTGAAAGAGAAAGAAAGTAAGAAAAACAACTTACCGGAGAAACACTCAACGGCGACTTTGCTCAGCTCAGGTGTCAACATCAACAGTGACGCTTGAATGGGCGTCTGTAAGGGAGAGAGAGAGAGAAAAAGAAAGCAAAGGAGATAATCAGACTAAGTGATATCATTATTTGAAGACAGAAATGTGTGTGTAGATTATAACAACAAAGAGAGTGAAAGAAAAGAATGAGGAAAAGTAAAAGTAACTATCAATTCTAAAGTAAAAGTAAATTCCTTCATAAACTAGAACAATCATTGCACAGAGGTGATAGATGGATGAATGGATGCACTGGTGTGCTGCTGATGGCGATAATTAGAGCAATCAAGTACGCTGATTCAGCTGCTGCCATTTGTTGTGGTAGTGGTGGTGTCCGACTGGTAAGTGTCAGTGTGGGCAATTGCCTATTTATAGTAGGCAAATCGCAGCAGCAGCAGCGGTAATTGGCTGCTGATGCTTCTCTACTCCACACTGAAAAGGAAAGTTCTATTTCCATCATAGCTCATACAGCAATTTAGTCAATCACTGCGGCAATCATCAAAACTTTAAAACATGCATCGCTACAATAGGATTGCAGTGTGCCTCACTGTCTCTCATCTACATTTTCAGAACTCAAAACAATATTACCCCGTTTCTGATTATCTATCGGTCTTTCTGTCTCTATGTCTGCTATTTGTGCCTTACCTTCGAGTACTTGACCAGACAGGCGAGTTCACTCCACGTCCAGTCGTTACTGTCGCCTTTGCCTTTTGACTTTTTCTTTGTCTTCAGGTTTTCAATCATTTTGATTGAGCCGCGAATCGAGTTGTCTTTTAGGTGGCCGCGTAGATCATATCTAGATGAGTGGGAAGGAAAGGTATAATATTAGTTTTTCTGAAAATTATAACAAAGAGAGAAGGCAATGAAAGGAAGGGAAGGAAAAGAAAAGGGCAGCTCACACAACATGGCCACCACGTGAGGGGAATGAATAAAAAATAATACTGCAAAATCAGCACACTCACTTGGAGAGACATTCTCGGAAGTTGAAAAGGGCAAATTGTAGCAGTGAAAAGTTGCCATCACCATAGGCGGACATTGAAGCGGTGCCATTGGTGCCGCCGTTCATCTCCACCAGTTTGCCTTCTTCAGTAACGGTCTCCTGTGGAAGCAATCATTTAGGATGTTTGGTGTTAAAGCAATCTCTCAGCAATGTGTTGAACTTTGCAGACTAGTAATTCAAAGGGGGGGGGGG